GAACAGCTGGGGGAGAGGTCAGATTGCAGGGTTGGGCACAGAGGGACCGCCACCCCCTGGAGAGGGGGATTGGGACAGTTTCAGCCTGGGAGGGCAGGCAGCTGGAAGCTGGCTTTGACTTGCCTGACAGGCTTGCAAGCCTGGAACAGCTGGGGGGTTCTGCACCCGCCACCCATCCCTCATCCCATGTGCTCAAGGCGCCAGGAGGCCTCGGAGACCCCGGCCCCTCTGAGGCTTCCAGGCCACTCCCCAGAGACCATCTCAGTGAGGCAGGGGGGATCCCCTGAAGAAAAAGTTGGGGCTGCTCACCAGCATTAGCCTGGTGACAGGTGGCTGGGTGGGGTGGCAGGTAAGAGGGCCAGGTTTGGGTACCGGAATCCCATCTCCGCTCCTGGCAGAGTGTGTTGCCCGCCCTCCCCCCGCCCTCCGGGACCCACTCCCTGCTCATAAGCCTCAGGCCAGGAGGAGCCCAGGGAGGCCGAGTCACTGAGGGCAGCGCTACTTGCCACCGTGAGGGCCCAGAGGGTGCAAGGTATGGCCCACTCCCCTGGCCACATCTGTGCCTGTCACCCAGGTTTGCTGTCCACTGTTGGCATCTCCATGGGAACCCCTCACCTCAGCACTACCTCGGGACCTAACGCCTGAGCTTGTCGTTCGTGTTGAGGGGAGCGGTGTACAGACCCGTGGACACCCAGCGTCCGACGACACTCGCCAGTGTCCTGTCTGGGCTTGTTTCCCAGCCCACGGATCTCTCCCACATGTCAGCCTACTGGGTTGAGGAAGCACCTGGCCAGTGCCCGGCTAGAGCTCTAAGCTGCAGGGTGTCACACGTGGCCTCAGAAGCCCAGGTTACTCTCTCAGGGCAGTGACACCTGGACCAGAGAGTTACTGTGACAGGGCGGCCCCTTCCCCATTCCTAGGGTTGCTGAATACAGCAGCCAGAGTTCAGAATGCTGCCCACAGTCTGCCCCCCCTAGGGCCAGCCCCACCTGGCTTCTCTTGATCTTTGTTGTACTAACGTTGCCTAAGGCCCAGGAGAGCAACGGCCAAGCCACCATCCAAGTGTCTTCGGTGGAGCATCTTCAACAGGAAGGGAACACAGTGGGTAGGGGCATAGGGGCCATCCCCAAGCTGCACATGGCATCCTGACCACGGGAAGGGTTCCCGCTGCCCCTGGTCCTGCCCTCACAGCCAGGTCAGAGATGCCGATCAGGGCCCGAGCTCATTGGTGTGGGTTTCCTTTGGGTGAACCATCGTTTCCCCCAAAGTGGACTAAGCCGCTGATGAACAGCAGGCCTGGGGCTGCTGGGCCCTTTCTGACCTCCCCTCAGGGGGCAGAGCTGTAGCCCCACTGGCTGCCCTGCGGGCACCTAGGCTGGGGCTGGACACCAGGCTAAGCTCTGGCATGCTGAATCTGAAGGAATCCTCACCACCACCCCATGGTGGCTCCTGTGGCAGTTCCCCTTTACAGATGAGGAAACAGAGTCCCGGGTCCAAGGTCAAATGGCTGGGAAGTGCTCGTGTTGTAGCCGGATCCAGGCTTACTGAGCTCGTGTGCTCAGATGCTGTGTGTGCCCCAATATTGGGGTCTCTCCATGAACTCAGAGGGTTCTCGTGAATAGCCCATGGCCCTCGTGAGACCCTGTTACCAGGGCCACCAGGCCTCAGCAGCTAGAAGCAATTACTTTTCCAGCCCACACAGATCTGTTTCCTAAGCCAGTGAGGCTACATTGCGAGAGGAGCAGACTTTCCTGAGATTCCACTGGAGGGGTGGTTAGGAACAGGGCAGGGCCCAAGGGGATCTAGTCCCTGGGGCAAGCTGAACAGGGTTACTACACTGCACGACCCCGGGAGGGCATCCCGCATATTTGTAGCTGTGTACAACCTGTGCAGCTGTACAGAACAACCAGGGAGGGTGGTAACAACAGGCGTTGTAGAGATTGTCAGCATGCCCGGTGGTGGAAGCAGCTCTCCTTCCCCAGGAACAGGGAATGACCACAGGCTTCTGGACCCCAACACTCAAAAATCAATGTCCTGCCAAGCCAGAGGAAGGCCCAGTAGAGACTCTTGAGCGGTAGACAATCCCTGTTGTCTACAGGCCTAGTCCTGCCCCAGAGAAAGAGCCAGGCTGCCTCCTCCCCCTTCTCCCTGGACCCTGTTCCAGGCCCCAGCTGGCTTCCTGGCTGGCTGCTAGCCCTGGCTTTCACCCCAAAGAGAGCCAGTCGTAAACAGGAAATGCTTCCCGATGAGATGCTGCTCCAGAGACTGAAGACCCTATCCAAGCGGCAGTGTTGACTGGTCCCAGCAACGGAGGGGGAGGGGATGTTGCCGGGCTCCCCTACTTTGGGGCTGCCCCCTTCACCCCAGCTCCCTCCTGTGTGTGCTGAGACTGATGCTGAGTCCTTCTCCCCCCAGAGACAGTCCGCAGGCCACCCCCAAGTCACAGAAAGCAGATTCCCCCAGCATCGACTACGCAGAGCTGTTGCGGCACTTCGAGAAGGTCCAGAAGAAGCACCTGGAAGTGAGACACCAGCGGAGTGGGCGCGGGGACCACCTGGACCGAAGGGTTGTCCTCTGACGGGCCTGGCATGGAGAAGGGCCGGAGGAGCGGCCCCACGGAGCATTCAGGGTTTTCCGGCCCCTTCCCCAGGAGCTCAGAGACCTGCCTGGGGGGCGGGGCCTGACCACCAGCGCGGGCGGGGGGCGGAGTTTGTCCACCCAAGCTCCCTCGCCCAGCCCCTGGGGCCCCCAGGGCAGGCAGCTGCACCCTGGCCTTCACACCGAGCCGGCGCCCCACCAGGGTGGGGCCGAAGCCTCAGGTGCCGCCCCATTCGCTGGAACTGGTCTCTTTCTAATATCCTCTTGGAAAAGAGCTCGACCTCTCCAGCCTCTCCAGAGCCCACAGCTCTGGCCCCGTGCTGACGTGTGCACCTGCTAGTATGCGCACCTGTCTGCACCGAGGGACCAGCACAGAAGTCCATGTGATGGCACACCCCCTGCCCTAATAAAGAAATGACAGAAAACCCTCCACCGCACCTGCTTGCTCCTTCCCCTGGCACCTGCTCCCCGCCTGATTGATGCCCACAGTTGCTCCAGGACCCGGTTGCCTGTCCCGGGGCGCTGAAGCCAGGGATTACCCCGGGGAGTGCTGGCTGCACCTGAGAGGCTGGTCACCGCACAGCCCCTGATGGGGTGTTCCAGGTGCCAGTTCGCGCCTTTAGGACCCACCGCGTCCTGGAGACCGCCCAGCACTGGTCTGGCCTGAAACCCTGAACCCTGCCTTCCCAGGCACCTCCTCCGACTTTTCCACCCGGATTCCCCCGTGGGAACGGGCCACATACCCAATGCACAGATGAACCAAAGCTGGAGTTTCTGAAGGAAAGGGCACGCCCTGCAGGCTGCGGTCCCTGGAGATGAAGGCCCAGACCCAGCAGCACAGGGCCAGAGCAGGTGCCCACCTTGACGGCTCAGGCTCAGCGAGCCTCATTACCCGCCGTGGGCCGGAGTCCACCGGATCCCAGTCTCGGTCTAATGAGCTCCCAGGTGGCCCCTGGGGTTGGGGAGACCGAGCTCGGGCGAGCCTTTCCCCGGGGCGGCTCTGCGCAGGGGGGGAGGGAAGGCTCTGCGCCCGGGTCCCCAGGACCGCGCGGCCGTCCCCACACACGTGCGCCCGGAGGCTGCAGCCCCCAGTGCTCGGTCGGGCCCCGGCCCCGCTGCTGGGCAAGCAGGCCGCCCGACCGGGTCGCGACCCCCGCCCCCTCACCCCCCCCGCCCGACGCGGGTGGCTGCGGCTCCGCGTGGGAGAGCAGCCCAAGAGCTCCCGGAGGGCCGTCCGGACTCGTCGTGCCGGGGATGAAGCGTCCGAGGCGGGCGCCCCCGCGCCCCGCCGCGCCCCCCGCGCCCCGCCGCGCCCGTGCGTGGCGCCCGCCGGACGCCCCCGGAGGAGCCCAGCCTGCCGCCGGCCGCTGAAAGCGCGGGAAGACCGCGGCCTGAGCCCCGGGCGCGGAGAGGGCGGCGGAGAGGGCGCCGGGCAGGCCCCCGGGCAGGCCCCCCGCCCGCGGCCCCTGCCCCGCCCGCCCCCGCCCGCCCCCGGCCGAGCCCCCGGCCGAGCCCCCGGCCCGTGTGGCCGCGCCGGGCTCGGGTTTCAGAGCCGCGCTCGGGCGCTGACCGGCCCGCGCCCGCCCCGCGCCCCGCGCCCCGCCGGCCGTTCCCACAGCGCGCCCCGCCCCCCGCCCCCCGCCGCCGCGCCCACGTGACGCCCGAGCCGCCGCGGCTCCGATTACCGCCGCCGCGCCAGTGCCCGCGCCGAGGCCGCGCCGCCAGCCGCCCGCCGCCCGCCGCCCGCCGCCCGCCGCGCCCCCCGCGCCATGGCCCGCGCCGCCCCGCCGCGGCCCGCCGCCCCCGAGCGCCCCGGGCCCGGCCGCTGAGCGCCGCCGGGAGGCGCAGGCCCCGCCTCGGAGCGAGCGCGCCTGCCCCTGCCCCTGCCCCTGCCCCTGCCCCTGCCCGCGCCCCTGCCCGCGCCCCTGCCCGCGCCCGGCCCGAGCATGGAGACGGCGGAGAAGGAGTGCGGCGCCCTGGGCGGGCTCTTCCAGGCCATCGTCAACGACATGAAGGTAACGGGGCGGCCGTGCGTGCCCTCGTCCGGCCGGGGCCGGGGCCGGGGCCGGGGCCGGGGCCGGGCCGGGCGGGCGGGGGTCCCGGCGCGGGGGTCCCGGCGCGGGGTCCCGGCGAGGCTGCTCCCGCGCGGCCGCTGCGCCCCGGCCCGGCCCGCCCCGCGCTGGCGGCCCTGAAGCCGGGGCCCGGCCCGGCGCCTCCGCCCCCCGCCCCGCCGCGCACCCTCCCCACCCGCCGCCTCCCCGCGGCCCCGGCCCGGACAATGCTGTCACCGCCGCCGAAAGCCGGGAAAAATAATAAAGCCGAGAGCCCTTAACTCCTTCCCCGCCGGCCGCGGCCCGGCGCTTGACCCCCTGCCGTGGGGGCCTGGGGTCCCCCGGCCGGCTGCCCCGGATCCCAAGGCCTCTGGCCTCCCCTTGCGGGCGGAGGGAGACGTTGGGGTCCCCGGAGCGGCCCCACGGGAGAGCCCCGACCACCCGGCCTTCGGCACCACCCTCCCCGCATCCACCCCACCATCTCGGTCCAGGTCGGCAGGAGCAGGCCGCCAACTCTTGGCCCACCACTGGCTCACTAGGAGGGGAAACTGAGGCCTGGGAATGGCTCAAGGTCACCAAGGAGATGGGCCGGCGCTGTCCCTGACCTCAGCCGTCTCGCCGATGCGGCCGAGGGAGATCCTCTCTGGGGAGAGGCCGGGTTTGGCAGGGCTGGCCCAGGCTGACTAGGCAGGGAGGGGTTCCCGCTCCAGCCATAGGACGCGGCGGGGAACGCGCTCCTGCCCTTCCCGAGGGTAGGATTCTGGGGCAGGGGAAAGAAGTGGGCCCTCCGCGTGAACTCCTGAGCGCCCCCCACCCCGTCACACACTCCCAAGTACCCAACACAGTCCCACGGGGACATCACAGGCCCAGGAGGAGGCCCCGCGGTGCCCAGGCAGGCCCTTCCCGAGGCCCCCAGCGCTGCCAGGGGACAGCCCCGGGGGCAGCAGCCAGACCCCTGCCCCTGGAAGGGGCCCGAGGCCATGCCCACCTAGGACTTCAGGATTAGCGGCACATGGGCGTCCTCCGCCCCCATATAGGGTGCTCCCCTGAGACCTCCATCCCTTGCCATGCCACGTCTGTGCCCCTCGGGCAGCCGTCAGGAGTCCTGGCCCCTCCACCCTCAGCAGCCCCTCCCGTGCTGTGGACATCACAGCCCTGGCCGCGGGACTCCTTCCCAGGACCAGGCAGCCTCGAGCACCCTCCCCCAGCTATTCCCGGGGCCGGGACCTTCCTGCACCCTCCTCCCGCAGGCAGCCTCTCTGCTCACACTACGGGGAGCAGCAGCCTCTCTGCGTAGAGGACGGGGACAGGACTGTCCCCCCTCTCCAGGCAATTTGCAGGGAACTTTGAGAGCAGACAGAAGGAAGAGGGAGACGTAGCGGGAGATTCAGGCAGGATTTTCTGACAACGTGGGAGTTTCACCCCGGGGTGATGCCAAGGACCTATGACATACGCCTGTGTTCAGGACAGGGACAGAGCAGGGGACTGGGCCTGGAAGATGATCACCTGGATTTGAGGGGCAGCTTCTGGCTGTAGTGATCTGAGCCACAGAAGCAGCAGGGCTTCCCCAGACGGAGGGGGCTGAGCTGAGGAGCCTGAGCTTGCCCGTGAGGCCTGTGCACAGCACGTCCACTCGGGCAGGAGGGAGGCCTCCCTCAGCTACACCTGGAGGCCGGACAGGTGGGGGGGAGGGCGCCGGCCCCAGGTCGGGGCTCCCTGCCTCTGTGCCTTGTTGAACTCAGCCCAGATGCCCACCGGGGGCCAGGCCACCTGCTGAAGCCCAGAGAGGGCAAGGGCTTGCCCGGGATGGCGGGACCAGGCCAAGTGCCTTCAACGGAGTGAAGGAGGCCTCCCACTCAGCCCTGGCCCATCCAGAAAAGGGGGCTGTAAACTGTGCCTTCCTCCTGAAAGTGGGGAGGTGGCCCAGACATAGGCCCTGCTGCAGGGCAGGGGCGGGGGGCTTCTAGTGGAGAGGCAGGGATCGTGGGGTTAGCCAGCGTTACCTGAGCACTTACTGTGCACTGGGCACAGTGCTAAGTGCTTCCCACGCAGTGTCTCCTTCAGTCTCCCCTAGGACCCAGTGACGTGGGTGCAGCCCCCAGCCCGATGTGACAGGTGAGGAAACAGGCCCAGAAGGGGGCCTGGTCCAGGATTCCCCAGAAAGCCCTGTCCCTGGGATCCCCTCGTGGGGTTGGTTGCTCACCCCCACAGCCCATGCCAGGACGACAACCACCGCCAGGTCAGAGGCAGTCTCCGAGGGCCTCCTCCTCGGTCCTGTGCCATCCACCTGAGCAACTCTGGTAACAGGCCCTGGGGACAGGGTGGGTGTTTCTCCCATCTCTGTGCTCCTATCCCCTCCCCACCTTGCTGCCCAGATGCTCATCTCTCCGTACTCCTGGAAGTAGGTGTAGTGACCAGTCAGACATGGGATCAGATCTTGCCCCTGCCACTTGGTGGCCTTGAGCAAGTCAGTTAATCTCCCTGAGCCTCAGTCTCCTGACCTGTAGAATGAGGGTGACGGGCATATTTATTTTATGGGGCTGTGCTAAAGACCCAACGTACTCACACAGTGAAATGGGCTTTGCACAGTGCCTGGCTACCACAGCCCCTTGGCCGACAGCAGTCACTGCCACCAGTGGTGGTAAGCCAGTCTGAGAGCCTGCCAGCCAGCGCATGGCCAGGATGAGGGTAGGGGCCCAGGGGAACACAGGGACCTCCCCCCACCCCTGGACCCTGGCTGCTCCATCCCCTCCACCTCTCCATCTCCAGGATCCTGAATGAGTGACTTACTGGTGGGGGTGGACCTGGGCCTGGCCTCCCCCAGCCCTGTCTCATCCCCTCCCTACCAGGAGCTGAGAGTATGAAGGTCTGGGATGCAGTGAGCCTAGAGGCTGGGGAAATGGACCTCAGCCTGAGGACTTTAATGGAGTAGGAACTTGTCTGTCCCCAGCTTCTCCTGGTCCCTTGTGCTCTGAGACTGCACAGAGGCTGCTCAGGGGCTGGGAAGGTGCTCTGGGTCAGGACACCTGCCCCCAGATCCCTGCATCTTCAGCATTGTCTTCCCCGGAGGTCTTAGCAAGGCTTCGGGGCTGAGATGTTGCAGTGATGTCAGGATGCCACCTTTCAGAAGACGCTTTGGGGTGCCGAGATGAGGGTCAGCTCCTTGGGATTGCCAGGGACAACCCACCAGGCCCCTTTACCCTGAACTGCACGCACATGGAGACAGCCCACCCACCACCTCTCCCATTCCGCTCCAGCCTGTGTGAACTCAAATATTTGCTTTCCCTGAGCGCTGGCTGGGCTGGGCTGGGAGGGGAGGAAGTTTCTAAGGCTATCAGCTGTCCTGTCTCCTTTCCACCCCTACAGGCTGTCCTCCGCTGGAGAGGCCATCTCAAACCTGCCCCTGGGTTCCAGTCTGGCAGAGCCTGCTTCTGGAGCCTCAAGGGCTGGGGTCTCTGCATCCCCTGTTTCCCCAGCAGTCCACACCACAGCCTGCATAGAAGGGAGGGTTAGAAGCCCTTTGGGGCTGGGACTTTACTGCCCTCTGGCTCCCCTTCAAGCTTCAAGGCCTCCACAGGTCGCTCAGGCGAGGGCTGAGGTTTCTCCAGGACCCAGCCACCATGGAAGGATGCATTAGCCAGAAAAGCCCCTTGATCAGACTGGACAACTTGGTCGCCAAGAGCCCAGTCTCCCTACTAGGAAACCCCCTCCCAACTCAGAGCTTTGGGCCAGGCTGGGATAAAGGCCACACTGTGTCCCCAGGAGGGGAGGGGAGCCGGGGGTGGAGAAAGGTGGCTCTGTTGGCCGCACAAGGCCCCATTCAGCCTGGGGCCTGGCTCTCCCAGGCGGGCTGGCTGGGCCCTGCAGCAGTCACAGCCTCCCCGGGCCTGGGAGCCACTGTGGCTGGCCTGGGATGGATGGGTGGCCAGGCTGGCCGCAGCTTCCGGACCACAGGGTGGGGGCCCGCAGAGGCCCCGCTTGAGACCTGGCATGCCTGAGCCCTGCTGGTGGCACACCATGTCTCTACCCTCGTGCCATGTGGACTATACCTATGTCAGGAGGGACACGGTTCCCCTCATGTGGCTCAGCCCAGAATCCCTGCTGGAACCCAAGGGAGCCCCCAGGAGACAGGACCTGCCATATACTGCTTCCACCTCCCCCAAGAGAGGGTGTGAACCAAAACAGTGGCCGCTATAGACAGTAGGCCAGACTTCCTGTCGGGGGGGGGGGGGGGGATGAGCAAAGGCACCTGTTCCCAGGGCCCGTGGCTCTGTCCTTGGGCCTCTGCAGCCCCAGAAGGCCCAGGAGCCTCTCTCCTGGGGGCAGGGCTGAGACCTCAGAAACTGCCCAGAATCTGGACACAGGCATGTGGGGAGCCCAACCCAGGTGAAGCCTTACAGTCTCCATAGTCTCATTACCTCTCCCATCTCCTTGGCAGAGCTCCTACCCCATCTGGGAGGACTTCAACTCCAAGGCCACGAAGCTGCATTCCCAGCTGAGGTGAGGCTGCTGAGGGTGCCCCCGTTGGGGAGGGGACGGGCAGAGGAGAGGACACCTCACCCACAGACCATCCCACTGTCCATCTCCCCAGGACCACTGTGCTGGCTGCTGTGGCCTTCTTGGATGCCTTCCAGAAAGTGGCAGACATGGCCACCAACACCCGAGGTGGGGAGGGGGCGTGGCTGGAGGTTGGGTATGCCCCAGGTTGGGCTTGGAGGCTGCAAAGGCTGAGCGGAGTACGAGCCGCAGACAGGACACTGGGCCCAGAGTTGGGACCTTGAATTCTGTTCCCTAGTGGAATCGGCTGGTCGTGGAGAGTGAGCCTCTAACACGAGTGGCATGCAAGCAGGAGTGTGGAGTGACAGGGATGTTAGTGGGGGATTCCGCCCTGCTCTGGGCCGGCTGCATGCCCAGCCACAGTTCAGCCTTCAGGACAGGGCGTCAGCCGCGGCTTCTCCGCACCACCTCTCCTCTGCCCCGTCTGGGGGCACGCCGGGGCAGGCAAGCCCCTGTTGGCCTTGGCATCTCCTCTGCCTTCTAGTTCAGGTAGCAAGGACAGGGGCCCCAGCTCCTTCGGGAGGTGAGAACCGGGGCGGCGGGCGCTTCGCGTCTCACGCCTGCCTCTGGGCCCCTGCGGAGGCGCTGGGCTGGCCCCGAACACCCGCAGCTGCACAGGCGGCCCGGCCCGCATAGGCAGGGCCTTGCCCAGCGCAGAGGAGCCTCGCAAGTACTGAGAACCCATCCGATCCCCGATCCCCGATCCCCGATCCCCATCCCCGCACCGACGAGGATCGCGGCCTCGCCGAGCGCCCAGAGCTGGGGGCGGGGCGCGGGGCGCGGGGCGCGGGGCGCGGGCTGCGGCTGCGAGGGCGGCCTTCGCGGGCCGGCGCGCCCCCTCGTGGCCGAGGCCGGGACTGCAGATGCCCCGGCGGGCCCCTTCCCACGCTGCGCGCTTGCCTCGCCAGGGGCCACACGGGACATTGGCTCGGCGCTCACGCGCATGTGCATGCGCCACCGCAGCATCGAGACCAAGCTGCGGCAGTTCACCAAGTGAGTGGGCGCGGCGGGCGGCAGGGGGTGGGCGCGGGGGCCGGGGACACCCGGTTGGTGGCCCTGACCCTCCCGTCCCACCGCAGCGCGCTGCTGGAGAGCCTCATCAACCCGCTGCAAGAGCGCATCGAGGACTGGAAGAAGTCGGCCAACCAGCTGGACAAGGACCACGCGAAAGGTGGGCCCTGGGCTCGGGCGGCCTTACTGTCCCCGTCGTGCAGAGCCCCCCATCATAGCACTCCTCTCTCACCCCGTGCACAGAGTACAAACGAGCCCGGCATGAGATCAAGAAAAAGTCTTCAGACACGCTGAAGCTGCAGAAGAAAGCGCGCAAAGGTAGAGCCCACAGTGGCCCATGGAAGCGTAGCCCCTCGGGGCCCTGCTCCACATACCCCACACCCTATGGGGCACCCCAGGGCGTCATCCTGGCTGGAGGGGCCCTCTCCTGGACCCAGAACCCTCCAGCCCGCTGGGTGGGACAGAGGGAGTCTCCCTGCACCCCAGACCTGGCCCAGGCCCTCCCCTCTCAGGGAGGCAGCAGGAGGCCCAATAGGCCCAGGCACCCACACCCCTGCCCCAGGAGTGGCTCTTTCCATCCGGCTGTCTTTCACACATTCTTTCTTTCTCTGTCTCTCCTCCTCTCCTCCTCCCACATCCTTCCTGTAGAGCTACTTGGTAAGTCAAATGTCCGTCCCTCCAGCTGCTCCTCCCGTCCTTGTCCCATTTGTCTGTCTCCCCCAGCTCAGGGCCATTGGAAGGAGCCTCTCCAAGCCAAGGAGGAGCGAGGAAGGCGGTCGGTCCAGCGAGGGAGGGGCCTGGGGCACAGTCCCCCTGGGGCCCTGGGGGCCCCTGGCCAGGGAAGAGTCCCAGGCCACTGCTGGGTCAGTCTGCCAGGCCAAGAGGGCTTGGACGGGGCGGGGGGGGGTTGGGGGGGGCATAGGCCCCGGCTGCCCTGCTCCCACCAAGCCTGCCCAATCACCTGTCGCCTTCTCACTTCCTGTCTCACCATCTCTACATCATCCTCTTGCTTCTCTCTGTCTCTCTCGCTGCTTCTCTGTGTCGCCGTTGCTGTCCTTATGCATCACTCCCTGAGCTGAGTGGGAGCCCCCACCGAGACAGCCCCTTCCCCGCCCCCGGGGCCCAGCCCCTAGCTCTCCTAACCCCCACGCCCCTCAGTGGCCTGGCCCACAGCTGAGCCCTCACCCTCTCCCTGTGCCCTGTCAGGTGAGGGGTTGCTGGTCCATGGGCAGTGAGGGTATCCTGAGGGTGGAAGGCTCAGCTGGGGAGGCCCCTGCTGGACTCGCCTGAGCACACCTGCTCCCAGGTCCCAGGTGGCTTTGCAGCTTTGGTGTCTTTCCTGTGTGTGTGTGTGTGTGTGTGTTTGTGTGTGTCTGTCCTCTCTGCCTGCTCTGGGACCAGCCCCTGCACAAGCCCCAGAGTCCTGGCCGCCCTCCCCAGTCCCCAGCCCCACGGCCAGGGACAGCACCACAGGCCCGGAGCCAGGCTGGCATCCCCAGCGCGGCCTCTCCTCCCAACCCTTCCAGGGAAAGGAGACCTGCAGCCGCAGCTGGACAGCGCCCTGCAGGACGTCAACGACATGTACCTGCTGCTGGAGGAGACAGAGAAGCAGGCGGTGCGCCGGGCCCTGATCGAGGAGCGCGGGCGCTTCTGCACCTTCATCACTTTCCTGCAGCCCGTGGTGGTGGGTCCCTCAAAGTCAGGTGTTCTGAGCATCCCCACGGTTGTTCTAGTTGGAGGGTCTCCAAGAATCTCAGGAAATCCCAAGAATCAGAATTTGGGGACCACTGGTGGGGGTTCTGGGTGACTCAGGGGCCCCAGCCGCTTGGCCGGACCCAGGGCTGACCACTGGAGCTCCGAGAAAGGCCACTTCTCAGTGATAGGTAGCTGGGTCCACGTGCTCATAGCCCACAGACAGGTCTCGTAGCCCATGATGCACTCATTTAGTCTGGACAGATGGTCACACTAGCCCCAGAGTGTCTAGTTCCAACCTCTGCCAGACCCAAGCAGTGGTGGGTGAGAGAGGAAAGGCTAGGGGAGGCCCAGTCCTCTGGGGGCAGGGGGACAGGGGCCGGGCCGGTGGGCCTCACCTGCTGCTTCCTCAGAACGGCGAGCTGACCATGCTGGGAGAGATCACCCACCTGCAGGGCATCATCGATGACCTAGTGGTGCTGACCGCGGAACCACACAAGCTGCCCCCCGCCAGCGAGCAGGTATCGTCCTGGAGCTAGGGCCGTGGAGGGGGCAGCTTGCCATTGGCTGGGGACAGTGGAGGAAAAAAGAGGACAGAGGACCAGACATGTCCCCAGACATGCTGTGGGACACCCAGGAGCACCTGCCCAGGTGAGGGTGGGGGCCTCAATCTGAGAGCATATGGGCAGAGGTCCCGTGGGGCTTCACCCCGCCTCTGCCCCCAGGCTCCACCCCAGTGAGCCCCAGGCCTCGTGATGCCTGCCAGTCATCCACACCCAGAAACTGTCCCCTCCCCTAGACTCAGGCACACAGGCCTGCTGACACAGGCCACCCTGCTCCGCTCAGCACTGTGCGCCCACTGCACTAGGGTCAGTTCCACCCAACAGGCCCGGGGCGTCGCCCTCGCTAGGCCCTTCCCGTGTGCCCGGCCCTCTGCTGAGCACTTTCCGCGGCCATCCCAGTGAACCAGCCCGTGGCCTACAAGACAGGACGACTCACTGTACTTCACGGGAGAAAGCAGGTTCAGTGCAGTTCCAGGAACTTGCCCAAGGGGCTCAACAGAGCCAGGATTTGACTCTCATGATCACTGTCTTGGCTCCCCTGCCAGTGAGTCCCCAGGGACACTGGTTCTCCCATATCCCCTGCCTGGCCCAGGAGGGGACAGCATCCTTGAGAAGCCGAGAGGGAGGAGTCTCCCCTGATGCTCCACCCTCACCCCCACCTTCAGACTCCCCTGCAAGGTATCCTGGGGCTTGGCTCTCATTAGGGAAGAGAGTGGGGGGCCTCTGGCCCTACCAGTCCTCTGTGGGGTCCCCCAGAAAACGATAAGGCACTCTGCAGAGCAGGGCGACCTCTCATGACTCCCACCCTTGTCCCTCTCCAGGTGATCAAAGACCTGAAGGGCTCAGACTATAGCTGGTCCTACCAGACCCCCCCGTCGTCGCCCAGCGGCTCTGGCTCACGGAAGTCCAGCATGTGCAGGTCAGTGCGGGGTTGACGGAGGTGGAGGAGGCAGGGGGACCCTAGAGGGGATGGGGAAGCTCCCAGCCAAGCTGCACTGAGAATTGCTTCAGGGCCCCGGGATTCACACAACTACGTCACGGAGGAATTTGCCAGTGTAGAGGACACGTACCCCCGTCTCCAGGCTGCTGCCAGCACAGGCATGTGGTAGCAGGAAGCGGGCAGGAGCAGCTTCATTTAGGGAGCAGTCACTGTGTGCCAGTTGCCACACTAAATGCTTTATGCCTTTTCTTCATTGAATCCTCACCCCACCATGGTCTCCGTTTCACTGAAGGGGAAATTGAGGCACGGGGTCCCAGCATTTCACTCTCCGGCTCTGCCCAACCCAGCAAAGTCAGTACAGGTGGAGGATAGTAAGGACTTAAGACACAGGAGGGAGGGGCACAGACACTTCTGGGAACATGTGCTGAAGCCACAAGGAAAGGGACACTCCAGCCTGGCTGGTTTCCAGCCGATGCCTCAGGCCGAACCCTGGCCCCGGAGTCTCATTCAGTCACCGCCCAGCCCCAGGATCAGGGAGGCCTCCAGGGCTGGCATCAGGGCAGGATTTGGAGGAGACATTTAAGATTCAAGGTTCCTTGGGCAAGAGGGCAGTGAGCACAGGGCGAGTTCCCCCCCTATTGGGGGAGGCTCCTCTGTCCCAGGCTCCCTTTCCCCAGAACCACCTCCGGCTGGGCATCTGGGCACGAGAGGTAAGCCAGGCACGGCCATCAGCAGCTTCTGTAGAGGGAGGAGGGCTAGGATTTGTTGGACGACCGGGTAGGTGTCCATCACAGCAGGGAGGGTTGAGAGGACACCTGTGACCAAGGGTGGGGGCTGAGTAGCTTCAGGATCATGTTCAAAAAGAAGGCAGCCTTCGTTGCCCGAGAGTGAAGTGGTTGCACAGAGGACGTGAGCTATGGAGGACTTGACACACTGAAGGGGGGCGGAGGGGGTGAGGACAGTGGTGGGTCCAGGACCCACACAAACCATCACCACATCCTAGGTATCCAGTTAGGGTTTGACGGCAAAGATCAGACTTTGAGGAGGCAGTCCAGAAACAGACCTGTGTTAGGTTCTAGCCCAACTGGGACAAGCTTTGACACTTAGTGACTCAGTTTCCCCATCACCAACATAAGGCCTACTGTTCTTAATGGCAAAGTAGGAAGCAAAGTGATTGCTCGGCCCTGAGAATGCCCTGGAATGCTGGGTGCTCCGAGGGCAGGTACTGGGCCAGCTCTTGGGGGCTGTTCCCTGCCTGGGCCCCACCCCCATCCCACAACCCAACTCTTCTGTGGCACCTAAATCTCAGGACTTGTAGTCTGACTTTATCTTTTCCTTCCTTTGCCCCTCACCTCTTTCTTCCCCCTTGTCTGTCACCCTCTCCTCCATACACACCCTTGTGTCTCCCTGTACCCTTGTATCTGGCTGCTGTACCCCCTCCCTCGCTCCCCCCAGTGCCCCCAGCAGCGGTAGCAGTGCCAAGGGTGGCGGAGCCCCGTGGCCCGGGGGTGCCCAAACATACTCACCCAGTTCCACCTGTCGCTACCGCAGCCTGGCACAGCCAGCCACCGCCGCCGCCCGCCTCTCCAGCGTCTCCTCCCACGACTCTGGCTTCGTCTCCCAGGATGCCACCTACTCCAAGCCCCCCTCACCAATGCCTTCAGACATCACCAGCCAGGTGAGGAGGCATCTGCAGGGCCTGGAGGTCCCCAGGACCACCTCACTGGGGACCACCTTGGCTGAGGAGAGGTGAAGGTTTTAGAGTGGCCAGCATCTGCCTCAGCAGTGTCAGCAGGGGGCTTCTGTGGCTCCCCTTCCTCACCATTCCCTGGTTCCTTACCTACCACCTTCTCCTAGCCTGGGGAGCCCCGTGGGGACAGCTTAGCAGCTCTGATCCTTTGTGACCCTCCTCCCACATAGGCTTACTGTGATGGGGTGGCTGGCCGTGGGAGGCATCCCCGGGAGCCCCAGGACATCCTCCTGCTTCTGTACACTTGGGCCAGCTCATGCTGAGCCCAGAGACTGGCCCATGAACCTCCTCAGATGCAGGCGCGGATCCTGCAGCCTCAGTGAAATGGGCAGACAGAGGGAGCCCAGTAGAAGGCAAAGGGAAGTCGAGCCACCTGCCCAGGGGGCTATCCTGAGGGTGTCAGGAGCGACTGCATTAGGATCCAGCCTGCTATTCCCCCCCACCAGGGCTAGTACCCCATTTGGGCTGGGTATTTTATCTTCTCCTGGTTTTTTTGCTCAAGGATGTCCCCATTACACTTCCAGTCTCTCTCCCTGTGCTGGCTCATTCCCATCAGTATACACACAAGCTCTAGTATCATGGATCTTACTTTTGTTTTTAAGATTTTATTTATTCATGAGAGGCACAGAGAGAGAGGCAAAAACACAGACAACGGGAGAAGCAGGCTCCCTGCATGGAGCCGGATGTGGGACTGATCCCCAGCCCCAAGATCACACCCTGAGCCAAAGGCAGACTCTCAACCGCTGAGCCACCCAGGCGTCCTGTATCATGCATCTTAAAAGCCCTCCCTTCTGGACTATAAGAGAAAGGAGGGAAACTGAGTGGGGAAAAATTAGAGAGGAACACAAACCACGAGAGACTCCCAACTCTGGGAAACAAACAAAGGGTTGCCGAAGGGGAGGGTGGGTGGAGGGGGTGACTGGATGCGGGCACTAAGGAGGGCACTTGATGGGATGAGCACTGGGATGATACTTTATGTTGGCAAGTTGAATTTAAATTTTTAAAAAGGAAAAAAAAAAAAGCCCTCCCTTCCTCCCAGGTTATCCTCCAGCCACCTAGTATCCTTCACAACAGAACTTCTTAAAAGATTTTTCCACGCTAAACATCTACCTCATTTCCCATTGACTCCTATCTGCTTCACCTATCTTATGACTGAAAATTTTTAGATTTGTTCCTTTCTCCCATATAGTTCTATCCATGCTTGCTGTATATATTTTGAGACTGTTTTATTAAATGCATACAAGTTTAAAATGTCAGCTTTTCATAGTGGATTGAATCTTCTAACATGATGTAGTTGATCCTCTGTTCCTTATAATGCTTTCTATCTTGAAGTCTGTTTTATGTTACTACAGCTATTTCAGCTGTGTTCTGTTCAAGATTTATATTACCATTTCCCACTTCTTTGCTCTTAAACTCACTATATTTGTATGTTTTAGATGAGTCTCTTATAAACAACAGATGTCCAGATTTTCTCTTATCCAGTCTGACAATCTCTATCTTTTAATCCGTATTCTTAGTCCACTTATATTTATTACGATTACTGACTTATTTGGACTTCTTCTGTCTTTTTATTCATTCTGCTTTTTCTGTGCCTCTTTTGTCTCTTCCCTTGCCATTTGATTGTTTTCTTTTTCCCGTTCGTTCCTCCCTACTAGATTATAAATTGTATTCTATTTCTTTTCTTTTACAGGGTACTTTGAAATTTTACCATGCATCCTTACACAGGCTCACCTTCTGAATAATTCAAAAACATTAATAAATATTTTAATTTAGTCACTCACTTCCTCCCAACTTCTAAGCTATTATATGTTATCTCTACTTTTTTGGTAACACTCACAAATGACACTTTTATTCTTAATTTCATTATCATTTCCTACACATAGCATTTGTCTAGATTTATCCATATGTTTACACATTTTTTTGTTCATCATTTTTTCTTGCACCTCAAATCTTCCTTCTTTCTGAAATATATCCTTTAGAAGTTCTTTTTTTTAACTTTATTTTTTTAAGATTTTTTTTTTATTTATTTATTCATAGGGAGAGAGAGAGAGAGAGAGAGAGAGAGAGGCAGAGACACAGACAGAGGGAGAAGCAGGCTCCACGCAGGGAGCCCGACGTGGGTCTCGATCCCGGGCCTCCAGGATCACACCCCAGGCTGCAGGCAGCGCTAAACCGCTGCGCCACAGGGGCTGCCCTGGAAGTTCTATTAGAATAGATCTGTAGGGCAGCCCCGGGTGGCTCAGCAGTTTAGCGCCGCCTTCAGCCCAGGGCCTGATCCTGGAGACCTGGGATCGAGTCCCACATCCAGCCCCCTGCATGGAGCCTGCTTCTCCCTCTGTCTGTGTCTCTGCCTCTCTCTCTCTCTCTCTCTCTCATGAATAAATAAATCTTAAAAAAAAACAGATCTGTAGTAGTAAAATCTTAAAAAAAAACAGATCTGTAGTAGTAAATTCTTAGTAGTAGTAATTCTTGTAGTAGTTTTTGTTTATCTGTAAACATGTTTCATTTTGTTATCTTTCTTGAAAGTTTTGCCAAGGACACAATTCTGAGATGACAGTCATTCCCTCTCCAGACTTTGAAGGTATTTTTCCAGTGTGTTCTCACTTCCGTTGTCGGTTGAGAGGTCTGCCGTCCGCCAGATTTTGTTGTCCTTCATGAGTGAGCTTACTTTGCTCCTTGATCACTTTTAAGATCTTGGCTCTTCAGTTTGTGTCTAGTTGCAGATTTGTTTTTAGCCTCATTTGATATGTTTATATTCCTATATCTGTGTATTCATGTCTTTCACATGTTCTGGAAATTTTCAGGCATTATTTCTGTATTCCTACATTTGTCCTTTCTATTCTTTCCCTCTGAGATTCCAATTACGTGTGTTATCAGACCTCCTCATTTATCCTTCTGTGTCTTCTCTTAATTCTCACAGTTTCCATCCCCTCACTTCTCTGTACAATGTTCTGGATCATTTATTCAGGTCTGTCTTCCAGTTTCCTTTTCTGTCTGTTAACAGCAATTTAACCTCTCCATTGAGGCTCATTTCTAACTTGTTATTTTAAAGTAATTTCGGACTTGTAGACAAGTTGCAAAAAGTACAGAATTCCCACTGGCTGCTCCCAAACCTCCCCTAATGTTAACCCCTTATGTAGCTACCAAACCAGGAACAAACACCGGCATGTGTGGATACAGTCTTTTTTCAAATTTTGCCAGTTTTCTCACTAACTTCCCTCTTCTGATCCAGGAGTGCAGGATCCAGGGCTGGACCCCAGGTCGCCTTTAGTTGTTGTATCTCTTTCAGCTTCTCCAATCTGTAGTGATTCTTCAGTCCTTCTTTCATGACTTTGATGCTCTTGAAGACTACCAGTCGGGTATCTTGTAGAACATTTCGCAGTTTGGGTATGTCTAGTGTTTTCCCATAATTAGATTGAGGTCATGGATTTCTGACAAGAATACCACAATGACATCATATTGTTCCTCATCCTCACCAACCCCGGGTATTTTGCATCTTTTTCCTTTTAGCCATTCTAGAGGGTGGATAGTGGTAGTGCCCTGTATTTTTTTAATTTGCACTTCCCTAACGAGGAATGAGGTTGAACATCTGTTCATACTTCTGAAGGTCACTGGGCTGTCCTCTTTTATGAAGGACCTATTCAAATTTCTGCCCATTTTCTACTGGGTTGTTTGCTTCCTGATTCGAGAACTTCTTATATATTATGGATACAACTACTTCATCTGAGATCTTCTCTGTTTCTGTGGGTTCCCTTTTTACTCTCTTAATGGATTTCTTAATGACCTAAAATTCTTAATTTAAAAAAAATAAAATTCTTAATTTTAGTGGACGTCGTTTGTCCAGTTTATTCATTTTTTTTAATTGTGCTCTTTTTGGCCTGAGATATATTTGTCTACTCCAAGGTCACAAAGATATTTTCCTCAAAAAGCCTTTTTACCTTTTTCATTTAGATGTGCAGTTCATCAGGAACTGATTGTGTGCGCACGCATGTATACACGTGCACATGTGTGATTTGAAGTAGGGGTTGTTTTTCCACACAGATATCTAATTGGTGATTTATTGAAAAGACCATCTTTCCCCTCTTGCACTACAGTGTTGCCTCAGTTATAAATCAGGTGTTATCTACATGCCTATAGCTATTTTTGGAGTTTGTATTCTGTTCTGCTGGTTAACTTGTGTTCTCATACCAATACTATACCGCCTTAATATGTAACTATACAAAACTTTGATATGTGGTAACAAAAGTTTTCCATCTTTGTTATTCTTCAGTATCACCTTGTCTACTTTTGGCCCTTCGAAATTCCTTGATTTTTAATGTCTGCTTGTCAGTTTCCATAAAAAAAAAAAAAAAAAAAAAAAAAAAACAGTAACAGCAACTCCTGGGGTTTTGACTAGGGATTGCTCACATCTCTCCATTTATTTCGGCTTTTCCTTCTCTTGGTAGTGTTTTGTAGTTTGCATGTAAAGATCTTGCACATCTATCACTGGTATTTTTTTCCTGGTATTTGATGTTTATTGCTGGTTTTGTTTATTTATTTTATTTATTTATTTATTTATTTATTTGAGAAAGAGGGAGTGAGCAGGGGGAGGCACAGAGAGAGAGGGAAAAGTAGACTCCATGCTGAGCTTGGAGCCCAACGTGGGGCTTGACCCACAACTCTGAGATCTTAACCTGAGCTGAAATCAAGAGTCAGATGTTCAACCAACTGAACCAACCAGGCACCCCTATTGATGCTATTTTAAATTCTATTGGCTTTTGAGGAGGTTTTTTGTTTCTTGGCTGCTGGAAATTTGATTTTTTTTCTTTGGTATATTGACCTTACACACACATTTATTAAAACCACTTATTTCTAATACTTGTAGATTCTTTTGAGTATTCTATATATGTGACAGTCCTATCTTTTATAAGTAATGACCACTTTTTTCTTCTTTTCCAATCTTTTTGCTTTCTGCTACTTTTTCTCGCCTTACCGCCCTGCTAGGATTTCCAGTACTGAGCAGAAATGGTGATCATGGGCATCCTTATCTTTTTCCCACTCTCAGAGGGAAATACATTGATATTTTTGTAGATATTCCTTATTATCAGACTAAGGAAGCTCTTTTCTATCCCTAGTTTAAGTGTTTGTTCATGAACTAACTTTGAATTTTTCCACTGAGTGTTCCAAATGCTTTTCCATTGTTTTTTGTTGGCTTTAACAATTATATTGGTAAAAATCCAAATTTTCATATTTCATCTGAATCCTCGCCTATGGTACTTTGTTTCCTTTTATTTTGGTGATCTTGGTTCATCATAAACTGTAAAAAATCTGGGGGTCTAAATTAAGGAGAATATGGAGAATTTGGCAGGGCAGATGTGCTACTAATAATGGATCCTTTCCAGGTACCCTAGCTTAGTCCGGGCCATCACAGGGCAAGCCCCCCACGTTGCCCCTTGCCCGGTCTCCCAACCACTGTACCGCACTCATTGTGTGCCTCAGGAAGCCTTCATGGCCCTGTGTCTACCCTGGCTGCTTTTGTCTTCATTCCTCTGTCTTCTTTTGAGTTGGGGGCTTCCCAGGCCACCTACCGCCCGGAGCAGGAGTCTCCCCTGCACACTTGGTAGACTCAAAAATGATCTTCTCCCCCCACCATTCTGTGAAACGGTTCTCGAGGTCTCCAGGGATGCCTCTTTGCCCTCATCTGAAGGATCCCCCGTAACATCAGCACCACTAACTGTCCCTCCTCCACATGGTAGGTCCTTCCAAGTTCTGTGACATCATCTGCTTATGGTTTTCTTCCCACTTCTCTGGCAGCTACTTGTTCCTCTCCTTTGCTGGACCTTCCTTTTCTTCTCAGCCGCTGAGCATGGGCATGCCTGAGGTCCTTGAACCTTCTCTCTAACTGCCCTTGTTGCTGAAGTGACCTTACTCTGTCGCATGGCTGTTAATCGGTGGCTCCAACCTTGTCTTCTCCCTAAACTCCAGACATGTAAATGCGGTTACCTAATCACAATCTGTGCGTAGATACCTAACAGGGAGCTCAGGATGGAACTCTGGGCTCTTTCCTTCCCGCAGGCCGACCCTTCTGACATGACAGGGACACTGTCAACCCCGCTGCCCTCCCTAGTGTCTTTCCCTTGCCCACCACATCCAGGCCGTCAGCCGCGAGTCCTGCCATTCAGCCTCACAACCTGTGGCTCCTGGGCCAGGCCACGGGGTTGGTCGGCGCCCGCGGCGTGCGCTCAGGGTGCTGAGGTCTGCTGCAGATGCTCGCAGGGTGGCGGGTGGGGCGCCAAAGCGGAACGCCGTGCTGCATGCCGGTGCTGTGACCAGCTCTGTTCTCTCCTCTCCTCGTGGCCTCCCCGCCCGCCCCCGCATGGCAGAAGTCCTCCAGCTCCGCGTCCTCAGAGGCCTCGGAAACCTGCCAGTCCGTTAGCGAGTGCAGCTCCCCCACTTCGGTCAGTGCTCCCGCCTGTGTGGGATGCAGGGAGGGCCCAGGGTCTACCCCGGGGGGTGCACACAGTGCCTGCTCCCCCAGGAGGAGCTGCCTGGGCACACCTGCAGCCATTCCCAATACCGTCTTTCCCTCCCAGATGTGCCTTCCTACCCCGGGCCTGGAGGGACTGAGAGGTCATGGCGTCCTCCATTCTCTGCCCTTGGCCACGATCATGAGCCTGAGGCCCCGTGTGGGTCTGAAAACCCTGAACCTCAACTGTAATGAGGGGATCCTTCACCGAGGACGCAGGGCCAAGGGCCCCCTGACCTGTCTGCCACACCTTGCAGGACTGGGCCAAGGCGGGCCCCCACGAACAGCCCTCAGGCACCAGCCTGCAGCGGAGGAAGGACCGGGCTGAGCACCCCCGAGACACAGAGCCAGGCCTGGCCAGCGGGGGCACCCTGGGCCCCAGTGGGGAGGAGGCCCCACGACCCCGCATGTCCCCTGCCACGATCGCAGCCAAGGTAGGTGCCCGCTCCCCTGGTGGCCCAGCCCGGGGCCCCACCTTCACTCCCAGGGAAGTGGTCTCGGGCCGGCCCCTGTCCACCCGGCAGGAGCCCCCTGGAATCCGGGCTGAGGGGGGGCAGCAGGGAGCCGGCTTCAGCCTGCAGTCTTCCCACCCCCAGCACGGTGAGGAGGTGTCCCCGGCAGCCAGCGACCTGGCCATGGTGCTGACCCGCGGCCTGAGCCTGGAGCACCAGAAGAGCAGCCGGGACTCGCTGCAGTATTCCAGCGGCTACAGCACGCAGACCACCACGCCGTCGTGCTCTGAGGACACCATCCCCTCCCAAGGTAGGCCCTGGGGCCGGGGCCGGGCCGGGTCACCGGGCCTTCGCGGCCCCAGCCCTGGCCCTGGCCCACCGCCTCCCGTGCCCTCAGGCTCCGACTATGACTGCTACTCCGTGAACGGCGACGCGGACGGCGAGGGCCCCGCCGAGTTCGACAAGTCCTCCACCATCCCCCGCAATAGCAACATCGCCCAGAACTACCGCCGCCTGATCCAGACCAAGCGCCCGGCCTCCACGGCGGGGCTGCCCAGCGCCTCGGGCGCACCCCCCGGCGTGGCCACCATCCGCCGCACGCCGTCCACCAAGCCCGCCGTGCGCCGCGCGCTCTCCAGCGCCGGCCCCATCCCCATCCGGCCGCCCATCGTCCCCGTGAAGACGCCCACGGTGCCCGACTCCCCCGGTTACTCGGGGCCCACGCGGGCGGGCAGCGAGGAGTGCGTCTTCTACAGCGACGAGGCCGCCTCGCCCCTGGCGCCGGACCTGGCCAAGGCCTCGCCGAAGAGGCTGAGCCTGCCCAACACGGCCTGGGCCAGCCCGGCCCCCGAGGCGGCCAGCTACGCCGGGCTGGCGGCGGACGACGACGAGCAGCAGCAGCTGGCCGCCAACCGGCACAGCCTGGTGGAGAAGCTCGGGGAGCTGGTGGCGGGCGCCCACGCCCTGGGCGAGGGCCAGTTCCCCTTCCCCACCGCCCTGGCCGCCCCCGCCGAGGAGACGCCCAGCCCGCCCCCCGCCGCCGCCGGTGACCCCCCCGCCGAAGACATGCTGGTGGCCATCCGCCGCGGGGTGCGGCTCCGCAGGACCGTCACCAACGACAGGTCGGCGCCCCGCATCTTGTGATGGCGCCACCCTCCCGCCCTCTGGCCCCTTGAGAGGCCGGTGGCCTGGCTGGTGAACAGCAGACGCTCAGAGCGAAGGCACAGCGTGGAGAGCAGAACCAGGCAAGCTTTCGGTTTTTTGTTTTTTAAGTCACATGAGGCAAAGCCACTGGATGGAAAGACACGTGTCTTGGATTTCAGTACTTAAACGGGAAGTGACTTCTTTAACACAGCTCGCCAGCTCTGAGCCTACAGGCCTTGAACTGGATTTGGAGCCTGTTTTTTACGTCTCTTGCCTGCTCTGCCCTCCTCTTCCTCTTCCAAGGCCCTGCCTTTCCCTGTCTCAGTGCGCCCTGGTCTGGGCCCTAGGGCCGCAGCTTAGGCGACCAGGCCCAGCTTCTCCTGAATGCCAGCCGCACCCCACCCCCCGCCCCTGGCCGGGCTCCTCTCTCCTCCCTTCTCTCCTCTCCCAGGCTCCCCTCAGTCAGGGAGGCAGGCTGTCTGTGGAGGGGCCAGGCACCCAGTCGGGCCAAGGTGTCAGATTTGACTGAAGCTACACAAAATGGCATTTGGGTAGGGAGCACAGATTGAGGTGGGAAGGTCCACCCTGCTGTGGGGGGAACGCGGCCCACAGGCCCAGGGCCCCAAGTTAAATCCTGGGGAACTGTGTGGAGGAGGCCATGGACGCTGAAGTGCGTGGCTGAGGTTGAGGGCAGGGCAGTGGGGAAGGATCCAGAGGCCTGACAGTCATCTGGCCAGCCCTCCGGGAGCTGCTTTCAGATGAGACTTTAACTCTGGTGGCACTTTGGTCACGGTTTCGGCCACCTTTGGGGGTAGGGGCTGGAGCTGTAGAGGGTATGGGGGGTTATTTTATGAATATAATAATAAAATAGAGCTGATTGGACAAGGACTATGTGTGGGGACAGGGTGGACAGTACAGGGTGTCCGAGAGTGCCTGAGGGACAAGGGGTCCTCACAGTGGCCCGGTGGGCCCATGGCCGGAGGTGGCCTCCCCAAAGCCAGGGGATAGTTGTTTTTTCCTCCAGTTTCTGGAGCAAAGCCAAAATAAGGTTGGGGAGGGCCAAGGTGGGGCCTCCAGCACGACTGCTTGGATGGGGGTGAGGTGTGATCCGGGGAGATTGGCTTTGACTCTCTGTTGCCAGAGGAGATGCCATCCCGGTGCAGTCCCCCCAGCCTCCAGTCCTGTGCTGGTGGTGGGTGCAGGGTGGGGGTGCCCTCCCCTCCATTTATCGAGTCCCTCCAACTCTAAGCAGCAGGTAGAAGCAGGTGAGTCTAGGGCGAGTGGAGGGCTTCCTGTTGTCCTGCAGGCCAGCAGAGAGGGTGGCCGGGCTCGGAGGGCAGCAGGACCACAGGGCAGGGGCCTCCCGGGGTCAGGAGAGCGGGCTTTTCCTGGTCTGGATGGGGTGGGGTTGGGTCTGAGTCAGTGCCAGGCTGGAGCTCCTGGTAGTTCTGCAGGGAACTGGGATCCAAGCAAGGTGGCCAGGCAGGTCTGGGGAACCAAGGATGCTCCTGAGTGGATGGAGCCCCCCGGGCTCCCCAAGCACAGATGGAGAATGGTTTCTGTAAGTTGCTAGGTCTGAGAACAGCCTTGCTGAATGCTCAGACCAACCTGAGAGCCCGGGTTAGGGCACCTGGAGAGAGGGCCCAGGTGCGGGAAGGCCTGGAGCGCCGGGAGAGCAGGTGGCCGGTGTAAGGAGCCGCGGGGGTGGGGGGGGGGTTTGCACTGCCCCTACCCGAAGGGCTGTGCTGGTCTTTACCCCGGTGGGCTGAGGGAGGAAGATGCAGGATGTGTGATGTGAGCAGGGTAAGGAGCGGTGGGGGGTAGGGTGGGGGGTGGCTTGGGAGGCCTGAGGAGGGGCCCCCAGGCTCATGCCTCCTCCCCTCCAAGCCACCCCAGGGTGTACATAACTCCTCCATCCCCCTGACCACCTATCTCCCAGTTAGTGACCACCTCTTAGGCCCACTCCCTTGGGATCCGAGCCAACCATCCCACATCACAAACTTTGGTTTGGGGGACTTCTTTACGGTTTTTTTTTTTTTTTTTTCATTTTTGTACAGAGAAATATTCTTTTCAAAAGCGTCTTTTGACTGAAGTAACTTTTCTGGTGCTGTTGTTAACTTGTTCCTTTTTTTAATTTATTTCCCCACCCGAGTCTCCCCTCTTGGCTCCTACTCACCCTTTCTTCCCTCCACCCCTCCCCACCCAGCCCCATCCCATCTGACCCATTTTGTTTCTTTTCTTTCTGTCCATTTTTTGGATAAATGATCCTTTCCTCCCTGCCCCCTCCACCCCGCCCTCCCCTCGATTGAAATAGTCACTGCTACAAGTAACAAATGCACTGTGAAGATTCCAGTATTAATAAAGTTGTACTGTAATTAACACCCTTGCCTCCGCCTGGCTTCCTCCAGGGCTGCTCCCCAGCCCCCTGCAGCAGCCCCGGCGCCCCAGCGCCTTTCCCGCCACAGGTCCGGCCTGGGGCAGGGGCACCCTGGGAGCCCGGGCTCCGTGGGCCAGGGGCAGGGGCGGCCAGGTCTTGCACCAGGACCTACGCCTTTGAATTCCTCTGTCCCTGCCTAGGAGGCTGTCTTGGGGTAGCCAGGCGGAGCCAGGGGGGCGGCCAGGAAGCACTGAGGAGGGCAGGTCTGGGAGCAAGTCCCTCAAACACCATTTCTAGGCCCCCAGGCTAAGGCTTCACCCATTCCAAATCCAACTCTTCAGACCCGGGCCCCAGGTCTCCTGGATCCTACCACTGGGCCAGCTGGAGCTGACTGGAGCAAGGGGGCCGTGGAGGGGCTCTCAGCCCTCTGCGGTTCACCTTCGCGGATGCAAACCAAACCAAACCAAAACAAGCAAGTGTTTAATAGAAAATAGAAACTGGAAGAGCATCCTCTGTGGCAAGATGTGGTGTGTGGCGCTGCCCTCTCCCGTCTCGCCCCCCGCCCACCCGGCACAGGTCTTGCCTCTGCAGCCACCGGAGACACGCAGCTCAGCACCACCTCCGGGGGGCGCAGGAAGGCGTAGAGAGCTCTGCGCACCTTCAGGTGCCCCCAGACCCCTGCTGCTCCAGGTGAGACCACGTGAGGTACCGAATGGGAGACTGGGCCTTTCTTGGGCACCGAATCCCCCTCAAAGGAAAAACACTCTCCTGAGGGTTCCTCCCCCAAGACAGGGCTCCCCACCACAGCCCAGACAAGTCTCCGGCTCAACCGAACCGCAAGAGCACCTCGAGCTGCCCCACACAGATCGCCCCACTGGCCGCCCGGGGCAACAGGCCTCTGCCTGCACCCTCAGCACCTTCACGGAGCTGGGGCTCCAGGCTTGGATCCTGGGGAGCGGGGCAGGGAGATAGGTGGCGACTGGGACAGGGGGTACAGCTGAGCAGCCATGCACTGCGATGAGGGCTCTGGGCTGTGGTGCTGAGGGCTCGGCACCTCACAGTCCTGCCAGTTTAGGACAGAACTCTGTTTACCTGCAGGGGACAGGAGAGAAAAAAAAAAAAAAAAGGCTGCAGGAGTGGTCAGCAGCCCCCCTCGTCCCCAGACCAAGCCACGTTGTTCGTGCTCCTGTACCCAGGGCCCATCTTGGCTTTCAGAAATGCCCTAGAGCCCTGGGGAGCTGCGTGCCCAGGAGGGTCCTGGCTCTGCTCAGTGATCCAGGCTCAGAAGGCCGGTGTCCTGCCCCAGCCCCATCCGCTCGCTCCTTACAGCAAGAACAGTACAGCAGTTCCATGACCCGGAAGCAGTTGTCCAGGAGGGCTTTGGGTCGCACCAGCTTCAGGCTCAGCCTCGGGGCACTCAGGAGTGACACTACCGCTTCCACCTTGGGGCCGACCTCCACATCCTGGAAGGGAGGAGACCATCAGGACCTGGAGCATCACCACCACCCCTGCCCCTCAACACCAGTGAAGAGAGGGCCACATCCCAGGAGAACCCTGGAGGCTGCCCTGCTTGGAGCTGCACAAACCAGGGAGGAAGGGGACTTCCTGTGACCAGGAGGGTAATTTGTCTCCTGCCTGCAGGAGCCAACTTTCCTGAGAGGGTCCCCCCTTGATGCCCCTCACCCAAGCCCAACACAGAGGCTCCTCTATTTCCATCTTAGGAAAAATGATTGCAGGGAGCAGGCGAGGACATAGGGAAGTAGGGGGCATCTTTGCTGTTCTAGCCCAGGCCCTGCCACCAGCACCACACAGGGAGTCCTGGCCCGGGGAGACTGTCCTTCAGGATTCAAAGGTCTCCACTGCCTGCAAGGAGCAAGACCCAAGGACCCTCCTGAGGGTCGTATCGTGAGGACACGTAGGTGCAAGGCATACGGGCCAGGCCAGTCTCAGGCGCCAAGGTCAAGGTGCGTCTCTCCGTCGTACTTACAGGGAGCACCGCATGGGGAGCAGGCAGGCACAGTGGGGGACCGAGCAGGGGGCCAGAGCTGTTGCAAGAGATATGGCATAGGAAGGAAATGTGGGGCCTGAGCCAGGGCAAGACCTTCCCTAAGGTAATGTACTGGGTTGAATTGTGTGACCCTGATCCCCCTTCAAAAAAGCTGTGTCCAACCCTGGTACCTGTGAATGGGACCCCATTAGGAAACATATTTGCAGATGTCCTTACGCATCTCCAGATGAGATCAATTTGAATTTAGGGTTGGGCCCTACTCCAATGACTGGTGTCCTTGTAAGAGGACACAAGAGGGAAAGGCCGTGTGAGGGTGGAAGCAGAGGCTGGAGTGATGTGGCCACAAGCCAACAACAGTAGAGCCAGCAGAAGCTGGAAGAGGCAGGATGGGCCTTTCCTCCCTAGAGCCTTCCAAGAGAGCATGGCCTTGCTGATACCCTGAGTGTGGGTGTCTGTCCTCCAGGCCTGGGGCAGAAGAATTTCAATTGTTTCATGCCACCAGTTACTGGCAATTTGTCACAGCAACCCTGAAAAGCCAGTCTATACAAAGGCTTGGAAAGAGAAGCGAGTGTGGTGGAAGGAAGAAGGGGTCTGTCCCCATGGCCCACTCCCCACCAGACACTGGGCGTATTTGGAGCGAGTCACAGGCCATTAACTCCATGAGAAAGAAGACAGACTTAACGCTGGGTAAATCTGAACAGCCTGGGGCAGCATGGTGGGGGGCAGGCCTCAGCCCACTCACAACCTCATGGACAGCTCTCAAGAACTCAGGGTCAGGCTCTCTCGAGGAAAACCAAGGATACAAACCTGTCTGTCGAGGTCAGATCCAGCTCACACGGCCCACGGGCACAAGAGCCATGAAGGAGACCAGTGGGCCTCTAAGCCTCTGCCCAAACCAAAGCGTCCCCAGAACTCCCAGCAGTGGTGAGCTCCTAAACCCTGGTCCCCTCCACAGCTCATAGCTCCCCGGGGCAGGCTCCTGAGGATGGCTAGCATCGGGGAGTAGGGCAAAACCGGGGAGTGGGGGGGTGTCCTGCAGAACGCACGTGGCCTGCACGGGCTCACACTGATCTTGTGACCTGACTCTGCAGGCTTTTCAGAGGACACATCCCTGAGGCCTCAGATCAACCCTGCTGGGCAGGCAAACTTCAGGAACCTTATTATCATTATTGTTATTATTTTGAAGTCCATAGTTTACATTAGGGCTCACTCTTGGTGGTGTACGTGCTACGGACTTCGACAAAGGCATGATGTCATGTATCCTCCGTTTACGGTGTCTACAGAAAAGCTTCATTACCCTAAAAACCTCCTGTTTTCATCACTCCACCTATTCATGCCTCCCCCCCCCCCCCCCGAAAGGAACTTTTAGAGTTTCTTTGGCTGGCTTCAGTGACTTGCCCAGGATCACAGAGCAAGAGACAGAGCCTGGAACATCCTGAGGCTCCTGAAGGGCAGGAGTCCTCCAGCCCAGGCCGCCCACTGGGCACTGGCCATCTCTTCCTCTCATTTCTCTCTCCCTTCGGGACATGCTGAAACTTTCTGTGTGTTTTCCTCTTCCCTCAACAATGCTTGGCCACCACACAAACACGCAAACACAACCTGCCCACCTGCACTTCTGCACAGCTCACCGTGAGGCTCTGCTGCACATCCAGCAGCAGCGTATGTACGTCCTCCAGGTACTTCCAGGATGGGTGGCCCTCAAGCAGTACTTCCTGCACCGACTCAGTAGCACTGAGGCTCACCCAGACCCACAGATAGCGCAGCTCCTGCTGGCTGACTCGGGCCCTCTGCTGTGGGGACAGGAGAAATCATTAAAGCCCACAGACACGGGGCTCTGGGCCCTTCCTACCACCCCCACCAACTTGTCCCCACAACAAGAGCAGACCACAGGCATCCACTGTGGGCACGGAGCACCCCTGGGCCGACACCAAGGGCAGGCTTGCTTGCAGAGCTGGGAAAGGCCCCTGCAACAGGGCTGGCGAGGCCAGTGTGCCTTGGGCTGGGTCTGTGGGGTGTCCCAGGAGGCAGAGGTCCCCAGCCCAGGACGGGATTCTCACCAGCCTGGTGATGTTGGCCATTCTGAGCACCCCCTCATAAGGCACGCTGACCCTGTAGTTGATGGGGAAGTAGTGTTTCTGGGGAAGTACAAGAACAAACCATGAGGTCAGAGTCAGCAATGGCTCAGACAGGTCCCCCCAACTCCCAGACAACTTGATTGGTCCCAGAAGACCAAGGACCAGATGGCAGAGGTGGCCTTCCATAGAGAATATGCACTCAGCTCCCCGCCAGGACAATGACAGCTCTCTTTCCCCTGGGACCCAGGCTGAGACCAAACATGGAGTTCCTATGATGGCGGAAACTTCAGGCCAAGAAGTGTTCGAGGGACCTACTACCCCAAAAGAAGTATATTCGTTGGAGGTGAGGAAGACTATTTTAAGTAAGATTACTCTGAACTTATCACGGTGCTGGTTGCAGAGCTCTGCCAATATACTAAAAACCACTGAGCTATACACATAAACAGGTGAATAGTACGGTATATGGATTACATCTCAGTAAGGCTGAGAGGAAGGAAAGGAAAGGAAAGGAAAGGGAAGAAAAGAAAGAAAGAAAGAAAGAAAGAAAAGAAAAGAAAAGAAAAGAAAAAAGAAGACAGGCAGGCTGCCAGAGCCTCAGGGCCCGGGCTCCTCTACCCTACACAGAGGTGCCCCTTCCAATTTCTAGGTCCTTATCCGCTCTGCTAATAAGCTCCTGGAGTTCCCCAAGGCTTCCCGGAACCCATTCTTGCAATGCGGGGTGAGTGCCCTGTGGAGGTAGGGTCAAAGGTCAGACCAAGCAGCAGGGGTGGAGGCCTCCGGGTTGGCTGGCAGGGGAGGGGACAGTGTGCGGTGGGAAAGGAGGAGAAAGGCGCCGGGGGCTCAGGACTGAGGCGACGGAGGAGGGGCGCCCAAGGCCTGCGCCCTGAGAGCCCAGAGCCGGCAGGGGAACAGGGCGCTGCCCGCACAGTTACCATGTACTGAAGGCGGTTCCTGTACTGCAGCTTGTCGCGCAGGAAGCCGGTGACCGCACACTCCTCGTTCTGGGTCAAGGGCCACATCTCCAAACCCTGGTTCCCCAAGGCCATGCCAAGGAGGAGCCCGAGATCTGCGGACCGTGCGCAAGAGGAACACATGAGCACCCCGCCACCTCACGCGCCCCCCCTTCCCCGCTTCCCTATGGGAGGCGGAGGCGCAGAGCCCGCGGGGGCCTTCCCACCACCACTAGTGCTTGCCCTGGCTCCAGGCTCAGGAGCCGTCCTGCCCGCGCCCCTGGCCCCAGCCGGCCCAGCACCCCAGCAGTCACACCCCGAGGTTAGCGTCCGGTCTCCCCCTCCCCACACTCCCACCCGAGGGGCAGCCTCAGCCCCGACCCCATCTGGGGCGGGAGCGTCCTCAAAGCCTGGCTCTGCGTTTTCATCTGGGGGCTCAGAAGATAGGGATGCTCGGTCCAGCTCTACAGGTGACTGTTGGGAACCACTATCCTCCCTGCTGTAACGCAGCTTGGCATCCCTCTCAGACGCACAAATCACCACAGCCCTGACGAAGTGCTCATCTGGAAGCCGGGGATCTGGACCCTGCCCTGCCGCCCGCCTGCCCGCCCGCCTGCCCGCCTGCCCTCCTGCCTGCCCTCCTGCCTGCCCGCCTGCCTGCCCGCCTGCCTGCCAACGAGCTCCGCCTCCCAGGCATTACCAGCCTTCACCGCTGGGGGGCACTGGGACTTTAAAAACAGCTTTTGTGATTGTCCGGAACCCAACACACTTAGAAAAATTCTGAACAACAGTCCAACTGATCGGAGCAGAAAGAAAACATAGATGGGCAGGAAACGTATCCAAAAAAATCAAACTCACCAATAGAGGTAAAGAAATAATATTAAAACAATCGGATGAAAAAACATTAAAAATAAATAAATAAAACAATCAGATGCCATGTTTCACGTATCAAAATGGAAAGTTGGGGGGGGGGTTCTTTTTCTTTTTCCTAACACTTGGTTCTGGCAAAGGAGTGAGGCAGGTGCTCTTATCCTGGAAAGCAATCTGGCAATTTTTATTATTAGTGAACTTAATGTCCAAACCTTTTGACCCATTAAGCCTTAAAAATTCTCATCCTTTGACCCATCTGGCTAGTGCAGGGGGTTAAGCATCTGACTCTTGGCTTCAGTTCAGGTCCTGACCTCAGGGTTGGGAGAGCGAGCCCAACATTGGGCTCCATTCTCATCAGGGAGTCTGGTTGGGACTTTCCCTCTGTCCCTCTCTGCCTCACTCTCTCAGACTTTTTTTTAAAAATTAAAAAACTTCTTCGCATCTTTTGACCCATTAAATTCATTTCAAGGGCAAACCAAGAGAGTCATCACCAAAAGATTTGTGTGGACAAAGAGTGCCGTGGCAGTATTATTCTCTTTAATAATAGTGAGAATCTGTAAATGGCCCCTATGTTCATTAATGACTGAAGCCAATACAAACCACATTGTCAAAGAATGTTTATGATATGCTTATGTGACAGGAAATGCACTCACGACATGCCTAGTAAAGTCTTTTTTTTTTTTTTAAGATTTTACTTATTTATTCATGAGAGATACACAAAGAGGGAGGCAGAGACACAGGCAGAGGGAGAAGCAGGCTCCATTCAGGGAGCCCGACATGGGACTCGATCCCTAAACCGCTGAGCCACCCGGGCTGCCCATGCCTCGTAAAGTCTTAAAAAGCATGACTCGGGCGGGCCCCGATGGCACAGCGGTTTAGCACCGCCTGCAGCCCAGGGTGTGATCCTGGAGACCGGGGATCAAGTCCCACATCGGGTTCCCTGCATGGAGCTGCTTCTCCCTCTGCCTGTGTCTCTGCCTTTGTGTCTCTATGAATAAATAAAAATACTTTTTAAAAAAAGCATGACTCAACATCCCTCCTCTGGGTGTACAGCACGACGTGGATTACATACGTCTGTGTGTGCGTGAGAAATGCAGTGCAAGTGTGCTAGAGGGAAATGTACCAAATTTGGTACATTTATGGGAGACATTTATGTTCTTTATATTTTGTAGAACTTTTTTTTTTAAGATTTTGAGAGAGAGAGCACGAGTGAGGGGAGGGGTAGAGAGAGGAACCTGCTCCCCACCGAGCAGGGAGCCTGACATGGGGCTCCATCCGAGGACCTCAGGATCATGACCTGAGTTGAAGGTAGACGCCCAACCCACTGAGCCACCCAGGTGCCCCTTTAGGACATACTTTATATTCTACAATCAATATAATCAATATCTATATTATTGCTATAGTCAAAAGCAATCATTTGTTTTCTTTTCTTTTTTCCTTTTTTTCCCTCCCCGAAATAGCCAGGCAAGCTGTCCTCCTTGTCCCCTACCTGGTCATGAGTAGGAATTACTGTACTTTCTCCATTTACCTCCCTGGAATTTAGGGAGACTTTTGTTCTTAATCCCTCACTGCGCCGGGCCTGTTCCTTGCCGCCTCTCCACCTGCAGCCCTGCTGCCAGGCCTGAGCTCTGGCTGGGTCCTCACCAGGAGCTCCCTAGGTGGACACAAGCCCTGTGCCCAAGACAGCTGCAGCCTACCAGCCCTTCTTCTCACAGAAGTCCACCAACCATATATTTTCAAGGTTGCAAATTTGCAACTCATCTTGCGCTTCCTCTGTCTCCTCCCAAGCGCTTGTCCTGGTATTTGGACAAAAGAACAGATAAACACAAACCGTCCCAGTGTTTTCTGCTGGCTTTCTATCTTGTCTGTAAATCACTGAGGCCCTCAGCTTGGCACCCCTGCAGGTCAAGATCACTCCCGGTTCGAGGTTTTTGCTCACATTTTGCCCCCCTCCCCGGGTTTCCTCTCAAATGGCAGACCTCTTTCAAGGTCTCACCAAGACTCCTTACCACCCCCCAGCAGGCGCTCCCCTGCCTGAACCAGTCCCCACAATCTCTGTCTCTAGCACCATCTGTTCAACTTGCTCCTTGACCAGACAACTTGGCCCCTGTTACGTGAATCCGTAATGCAGTTAACCACAACATGGTCTTGTGTACTGAGCACTTTGGGGGTTCATCTTGAACAAGGAATCAGGAACATGCATCTGAATCTTCTGGAAAGCTGGTTAAGGCCCAGACTGATTCAATAAGTCTGGGGTGGGCCCAGAGAATTTGTATTTTTACCAAGTTCCCAGGTGCTGCTGCCGCCTGTCTGGAGACCTTCCTTTGATACTCACAGAGCCCTTGATCTCCAGAAACAGTTGCAAACTGTGGGCCACAGCTGGTTCAGAGATTTCACATAAAAATCTAACTTTGCATCTTGTCTTTAAAAATCAGTAACTCTGGGATGCCTGGGTGACTCAGTGTTTAAGCGTCTGCCTTCAGCTCAGGGTGTGGTCCCAGGGTCCTGGGATCAAGTTCCATATCAGGCTCCCCACAGGGAGCCTGCTTCTCCCTCTGCCTATGTCTCTGCCTCTCTCTGTGTCTCTCATGAATAAATAAAATCTTTTGTAAAAACTAAATAAAATAAAAATCAGTATTTCTGTCTGCACTTGGCCCTCCTTCCTATGGGGCAGTCACCATGGCTGCCCAGTTAACCCCTGAAATCTAACCCTCACTGCCATTACCCAGATCCTGGTCTGGGTCTTTGGAGCCCAACAACTGTGGGCCCCTAGCAGGGAACAAGTCATAGAAAGCCACCACGTGCCAGCCTGGCATGCATGGGCTGTGCCAGAAACTTTGTCCGTGGACGCTTTGCCTTCCCCCAGACCCAGACTTCCTTTAGATCTGCAGAATGACCCCCATCTCCAAATTTAAGCCCCTCTTCTGCTGCCTCCACCCCGAGAAACAAGTCAGCAAACCGGTAACTACCCAGGGCCAGCATGGCCATAGCCTCACAGCTTCTCTGCACCCCAGAGGGCCCCATAGCCAGCGCAACCCCCGACTCTGGAAGGGGGCCAGTCTTGCCCCCTCGTCATCCAGAAGGAAGACACCCCCAAGACAGAAGAGGAGGCTGAAGAAAGAGCAAGTGAGAAAGGAGATCCCTTCCGAAGTCTCTGGCTGGAGGGGGGAGGGGCTGTGCTCTCCAAGGGACAGCCCCTTGTGCAGGGACAAATGGGACTTGTCTACCAACCCCACCTGCAGCGACAAAATCTGAACCTGAGGAGAGGATTGAACAGCATCCCCCCTCCCCCAGAACTCCTTGCTCACCCAGATCTTCAGATATGACCTTATTTAGAAATGGGGTCTTTGCAGGTAAAATTAAGGCGCACTCTGAATCCAGTGACCAGTGTCCTCATAAGAAGAGGGGAGGACACAGAGAGGGAAAGGCCAGGAGGAGATGGACACAGACTGGAGCGATGCCACCACAAACCATGGAATGCCAGGTGCCACCAGAAGCAGAAAGAGGCAGAAAGGAGCCTCCCCTAGAGCTTCAGAGGAGACTGGCCCTGCCCACACCTTAGTTTTAGACCTCTGGCCTCCAGACCTGGGACAGAATAAATTTCCACTGTTTTAAGTAACCGAGCTGTGGCAAGTTGTTACGGCAGCCCATCCCTTTCCGCACCCAGCCCATTCACACGCCCCTCATCTACACCCCTCCCTGCCTCCCACCCCACAGCCGATCCTTGCCAAGGCCTGCAATCAACCTCCACCATGCCTTCCATTCCCACGTCCATCTCCGGAACAGACCTTCGTCTCTTCCTGCCCAGAAGGTTGCGACAGCAGGGCCAGCAAATACCACGGACTGATTTCCTAAAGCAGAGTAACTCCCAGGCAAAAGCCCACCCCCGGATCTTGAACCTTCCAGGGCTCCCTGCTGTCTCATGAACTGACATTCAAGGCCTCCACCATCGGAGCCCAAACCGGCTATAGTGTGGCCTCTCACGGTCTCACTGCTGAACCTTTGCTCATGCTGTTCCCTCTGCCTGGGACACATCCTCACCTTCCCACATCTACCTGTGTGAACACTGCCCACCTCTGAAACCATTTCAAGTGGCACCTCATCCATGCTGCTCCTCTGGCTCCTGGTGACTGGAAGCTTCCAGAACACTGGGTCTTGGTCCTTCTGTGTGTTCTGAATGCCCTGACCCTTTGCAGTATCCCTCTTCAAGGGCCAGGCTGGATCCCTTGCAGGATCCAACCGCAGACCTTGTCCATTAGGCACACAGGTCCTAGCGCCTAACTCCATGCCAGGCATCACAGAGAGGGGCGTGAGCTAGCCCAGGTCCTTGTTGCCATGGCAGTAACTCTCCAGTGGGCATGTGGGAGGCACCAGAAAAATGTGTTGAATTTGAGTCAATTCAATTGAATCTTGGAGTCTGAAGGGATCTTGGTCTGGCCTCCCACCAGCAGGCTTGAGAGGCTTCTAGACGCTTTCTGTCCTCATTTCAACTTATTTTTCTTTTTACCAACAACACTGTTCTCTTTCTTTTAATTTTGTTCTATTATGGAGGGAGGGGCAGCGGGAACAGGCTGCCTTCTCCAGCACCTGGCGGCACTTGCCCCACGTGTCACGAGGCCCACTTTCACAAGCTCCCGCCCCCAGCTGACCACACCCAGGGAGGCCAGAAATCCTCTCTGCACCTCCGCCCCCCACCCAGTACACCCCAGCAGCAAGGGGTCTAAGAGGGTGGTTCTACCACTTGCCCCCAGTGCCTGCCCCATCCCCCTGACCTCCCATGACCATGCCCACCCAGCCTAGACCTCGTATCCAGCACGCTGGTCTGAGTTGGGGTCGCCCAGAGGCAGGGCAGAGGGCGGCCATGGGAGTCCCCAGGCTATTAGGCTGGGAAGCATCTCAACTTGTCACCAGCAAGAATGGCCTGGTTGCCATGGTTACAGCAGAGCCCAGCTCTGGGCCAAGGCCTCCCCCTGGCTGTCTCCACAGACACCCCCAGTACTCACAGTGCAGCCAGGCGATTCCCCGGGGCATGGTGGTGCGCTGTGTACCCAGAGAGCAGAGGCAGTGTCCCCAGCCGTGTGTGTCTATCCACAAAGACCCAGGCAGGGCCTACATGGCCTCAGGTCAGCAAAGGTGGCCCAAAGCTGGGGAAAGGCTGGCTACAGAAGAGCAGCCCGGCAGGGGGCAGCAGGTGCTCCTGGGGCAGTGCCCGCCCTTATCTGCCTGGCAGCGTGGAGGGCAGCCGGGGGGCAGCAGCTGCGAGTCCCATGGCAGCCAGGACCTGGCCTGAGACTCTGGCCTCGGGATCTTCCCTCTTGAGCAAGAGGAGAGAGTCCCCAGCAGTCCCCTCGGAATCTGGGGCTGGGTTGTGCTTTCTCTGATTTCTCCGTCTGCAGCTGCTCAATGTGAAATCTGGCTCTGGAAAGAGAAAGGAGGAGAGAAACTGGTTATGTAAGAGCCGTGCTGCCACTCAGCCATCAGCCGCAGGCACCGGGAGTCTGTGCGCTGCGCCCACTGCCTGCCAGGGACCCCCGGGAAGGCTGGAGGCGCGCAGCCCTGCCCCGGAGGCTGGCTACAGGGGGAAACAGGCCTGTACACAAGAAATGCCTTCAGAACATCCCAAGGGCAATACTGGCCCAGGCGTGAGTTACGATGACACCAGTTGGCAGCTGTGGGTTTGAACAAAAAGCAGGACTAAGGAATGAATGGCTGAACGGGTTAAATCAAGGACGCTTCCTGAAGGAGGTGAGGTTGCATGCAGGTCAAGTACCTACACGGCTCAGGCTGCCAGGAGGTTAAAACAGCACAGCATTCATCTCTCTACTCACCTTCGGGCTTAGTCCCAATCTCCTATTCCCCAAATCCCTGTCCCTCTTAACAGGGGGACACACGAAACACCAGGTGCCCAGTTAAATTTGAACTTCAGACCAACAATACATATTTTTTTGTATAATTATGTCAATAATTGTGTATAGTACTTTTTAGTATAAGTATATTCCAAATAATTGCACGGGACATACTTACACGAAAAAAATTGTGATTTAATGATTCCATGTTATTTAATTAAATAATTATTTAATTCTAAATTAAGCAGAAGTCCTGTATTTTTATTTGCTAAATTTAGCAAGCCTATGATAATAATGAGATTGCCTTTCCTGAGTACTCACTATGGGTGAGGCCCAGGGCTCAGGCCTTCACATTCATTGAATCCTCACCATTGAATCTTGCTGGGCCATAAAAATCTCATTTTTTTGGGACACTGAGTGACTCAGTGGCTGAGCATCTGCCTTCAGCTCGGGTCATGATCCCGGAGTCCTGGGATCAAGTCCTACATCATCAGGCTCCCTGCATGGAGCCTGCATCTCCCTCTGCCTGTGTCCCTGCCTGTGTCTCTGTGTCTCTCATGAATAAATACAGTCTTTTAAAAAAAATAAACGTTTATTGAAGTATAATTTACATACAGTAAAATTCACTTTTTTAGTGTGCAATTTTAGGACTTTTGAAAAAAAGAGTTGTATAACTGTTACGATAATCAAGATATAAAACATTTCCATCCGTGTGCAACATTCTCCCCGCCACTTTGTGGTCGGCCCCTCCTCCTACCCCCACCCCCATGTAATAACTCATCTGTGTCCTGTCCCACCATTTTGCCTTTTCCAGAAAGCCAGAGAGACACAACATGAGTGCCCTTGTGTGCAGGCCCCTTTCACTTGGCAAACTGCATCTGGGATTCAGCGAGGCACTTGTGGTAGTGGGTCGCTTGCTTCGCTTCCTGAGTACTATTCCATCCTACAGCCACCAGCTGAGGGGTTTCTGAGTTGTTTCCAGTTTTTGATGATTAAAAATAAAGCCACTACTGGCTTCTGCATCCCGGTTTTGATGGGACAGAAGCTTCCATCTCCTGGACCAGCCCGCAGGCATTTTGCTGCCCAGAGGGCTTCTGCTGCTGGCCTGCTCCCACCCCTGGGGCTCCCCTCCACTGAGAACTCCGGCTCCCATGTGCAGGGCAGAATCAGGTTCTGCCCCCCACCTGTGCCCCCCTAATGTCTCTTGGCAGCCTCCTCACTCAGAAATCTCCCAGAAGAGGGAACCCCGGGTGGCACAGCGGTTTAGTGCCTGCCTTTGGCCCAGGGCGCGATCCTGGAGACCCGGGATCGAATCCCACGTCGGGCTCCCAGTGCATGGAGCCTGCTTCTCCCTCTGCCTGTGTCTCTGCCTCTATCTCTCTCTGTGTGTGTGTGACTATCATAAATCAATCAATCAACAATCTCCCAGAAGGGCCTTCAGTACCAAACTCCACCACACATCCTGGACCCCTAGACCCCCACGGAGAAGCCACGAAAGTAAGACACCGGTCACAGTCACCTTTCCACACACCACGCAGTCCTGAACCTAGGTGCCTTTTGTGATTCTAGCCCTTGAACTCCTCCAAAGGGGAGGAAATGTGTGAAAGCTAAGGAGGTCACCAGTGGGAGTCAGCTGATGACACAGGAGCTAGAGCCTTTGGGGTAGCACAACCCAGCTGCTCACAGGGCCTTGGAATCAGGGCCTCTCCCTGGCCAATGAGGCCAGACCAGTGGCCTGACAGCAGTCTGCCTGAGATAGTGGCCTTCCCCGCACCTGTGACAGCCCAAGGCACCTCTCTCTCTCTCTCTCCCCCCCCCCCCCTTTCCTTCTTTCATGAGGGAAGGTGACGAGTTTGAGAACGTGCCTCTCTCACACCACCCCAGTCTACCCCATGGCTTACAGCAGGCTTTAGGAAGCTCACACAGGAACAGGTGTGCAAGAAAGTAGATGCTGGAATATTCTTCACAGTTCAGTTGTCAGGACTGCATTTTAAAAAATACAATCACATTACTATTATTGCACATTCCCAAATTAATCATTCCTTATATCATCTAATATAGAACCCATGTTCAATTTTCCCTGGTTGTTTTTAAAACGTCTTTAAATTGCTTTGCTTGAATTTAGAGCCTAACAAGGTCCATTGACTGATATGTCTCTGCGGTTTTTTCCTTTCTTTTTAAAAAAATATTAAGATGTAATTCACGTCATAAAATTTGCCATTTTCAAGTGTGTAACTCAGTGGGATTCTTTTTTTAGTAGATTCACAAAGTTGTGCAACAATAACCCACAATCTAACTCCAGAACATTTTCATCATCCCCAAAATAAACTGTATTCATTTGCAGTCTCTGTTTATTTCCTCCCCCTACTCAGCCCGTCAAGTAACTACTAATTTGCTTTCTATCTCTATGGATTTGCTTTTTCTGGACATTTCTTATCAATGGAGTAATATGGCATATGGTCTGTTCACTTAGCATAATGCTTTCAATGTTCATTCATCTCATACCATGTGCCCCCCTAAAATCATATACTGAAGCCCTAGCCCCTAATGTGATGGTATTTGAGATGGGACTTTTTGGAGGTAGTTGAGGTCACAAGGGTGGGGCTCCCATGATGGGATTTGTGCCTTTCTAAGGAGCCACCAGAGAGCTTGCTCGCTCTCTCTGCGTGCTCCCACAGAGAAGAGGTTGTGTGAGCACACAAGAAGGCAACCACCTGCAACCCAGGGGGACAGTCCACACCAGAAACCAACCATGCTGGCACCCTGATCTCAGACTTCCAGCCTCCAGAACTGTGAGCAAGTAAATTTCTGTTCTTTAAGCTACCCAATCTACGGCATTTTATTATGGCAGCCCAAACAGGCTAAGACAGGGCATCTATCAATACTTCATTCCTGGGATGCCTGGGTGGCCTTTGGCTCAGGGCATGATCCTGGGGTCCCAGGATCCAGTCCCTGATCAGGCTCCCTGCATGGAGCCTGCTTCTCCCTCTGCCTATGTCTCTGCATCTCTCTGTGTGTCTCTCATGAATAAACAAAATCTTAAAAAAAAATCATCATTCCCTTTTAAAATTGTTTTTAATTTTTTTTTAAGATTTAATTTTTAAATAATCTCCATACCCAATGTAGGGCTTAAACTCACAACCCCGAAATCAGAAGTCACATGCTCCTCCAACTGAACCGGGCAGGTGCCCCTCTCTTTTATTTTTTTAAGGGTTGAACATTTTATTCTCAATTTTTTTTGTCTTTTTAAAAGAGGATTTTAGGGACACCCAGGTGGCTCAGCAGTTGAGCACTTGCCTTCCGCCCAGGGTGTGATCCTGGAGACCTGGGATGGAGTCCCACATTGGGCTTTCTGCATGGAGCCTGCTTCTCCCTCTGCCTGTGTGTGTGTGTGTGTGTCTCTCTCTGTCTCTCATGAATAAATAAAATCTTCAAAAAAACAAAAATGATGAAAAAATAAGAGAGGATTTTATTGGGGTGCTTGGGTGGCTCAGCTGCTTAAGCATTTGACTCTTAATTTCAGCTCAGGTCATGATCTCAGAGCAGTGAGATCAAGCCCGGAAGCGGGCTCCACGCTGAGCACAGAGTAGAGTCTACTTGTCCCTCTCTCTGCTCCTCCCCCCTCCCTGCTCTCTCAAATAAATAAATAAATAAATAAATAAATAAATAAATAAATAAATAAATCTTTAAAAGAAAAAAGAGGACTTTATTATTATTTTAAGTAGGCTCCGCAACAAGACCTGAGGTCAAGAGCCAGCCAGGTGCCCCACCCCTTTTCCAGCCTTTTTAAGTAAAATAAAACAGTAAAGCAAAAATGCACAAAGCCCTTCCCTTGCAGCCAGCCCCCTTTCCTTCACGCGCTCACACGGCCCAGGGGTTCCAACTGAGAGAGCGAAACTGCCCCAAGAACGTGAAGGTGCGAGAAGAGAGGAGGGGAGCGGTGTCCACCTTCCAGGTCACGCTGAGCCGGTCCACACCGCCTGGTGCCGGATGGTTTTCTCTCATTACCCAAATGGAAAAAGGAAAGTCCCCCGACGAGCCGCTTCAAAGCTGAAGCCCCCGGCCGCTGCCAAGGAATGCCAAGAAAACGCGGTTTGGGTCCGAGTCAGGCCACCCGCGCCCTGCTCCCCCCGGGCCTGCTCCGCGAGGCCTCCTCTTGGGTCAGTGAGGAGAGGAGCCACTCCTCTGACCTCCTTGGACCGCTTCTCCTCCTCCTAGAGGTCAGCATCGGCTCCCCTGTGCCTGTCTCCATGGAGCTTCAAGGCTCATTCTTTTTTTTTAAGATTTTATTTATTCATGAGAGACACACACACACAGAGAGAGAGAGAGAGAGAGAGAGAGAGAGAGAGAGAGGCAGAGACACAGGCAGAGGGAGAAGCAGGCTCCACGCAGGGAGCCCGACGTGGGACTCGATCCCGGGACCCCAGGATCACGCCCTGGGCCAAAGGCCAGCGCTCAGCCGCCGAGCCACCCAGGCGTCCCTCAAGGCTCACTTCTGCTAAGTTTTCTCGACCTGGTCCTCAGAGGCATCCATGTACACTCCCAGAATCTTGCACTCCTCTTTACTTGCCTTTCTTCAGCTCCAGCTGTGCATTTTTTTAAAATGCTGTGTATGTTCTTATGTTTTCTCCACCTGATACGCTTTTCCACAGTCCTGTGCTGCTGCTTCAAATTGTTCTGTGTCCATGTAACACTGACCTCTTCTCAAGGAGCCTTTTAATTAAGTGGCATCAAGCCTCACTGCATTTGTGCAATCTTCTATTGCACCACCTAGTCTCCTAAGCTTGGAATGATCTATCCCCCAATTGCAGTAGACTTCGGCACTTGTTTTTATATTATTGGGGTCTGTCCCCAGGGCTTCTGTGTACAGTTCATAGGCCAGCTTCGAATTTCCTTCTTTAAATGCTTTATTCCCATCTTCTTTCTCTGCTTCAAGTGCTTTGGCATTTCTGCAAGCAAGGCAGGCATTTTTGTGGTCAGGAGCCATCCTGAGAGCCTGTGCAAAAAACTGAACTGCCTTTTGCATACGGTCTTCTTAACAAAGGCAGAGGCCTTGTACATACAGAACGTGGATTTGGTGGAATGTCGCTGGCTGCAGACTGCTCCTGGATACTGATCCAGCATTGCTAAATATTCTGCTTTGGTGATTTTGAAGCAATGGCAGGCAGGGCAAATTCTAGGGCATAGTCTGTGCAGAAAACCATTTTCCAAAAATCCTGCTTCTCAAAATCTGTTTCTGTCTTTTCTCATGTTCATATATATTCTGTTGTGCCTGAACATTTCTGTGATCCAGTTCTAGAGCACTCTGGAAATTATGACATGCTGTCATGGCATTCCCTAAGATGGGGGCATTTGCCTTTCCATAGATGTCACCAGACAAAACTGTCATTCAGCCTCACTGCCAATGCATCTCCCAGAGCTTCCTGGAACCTTCTGAGCATCATCAAGTCTGCTCGAGCATCTGCTCGAGTCTCACTTTAGCTAACAATTTTAAGACACATATCTATGTCTTTTGTATAATAGTTATAAGCTTCATTGTAATCTTTCTTGGCATAGTTTGCATTTTCTTTTTCCTTGATAGACTTTGCTTCCCTCTTCACTTCATTTTGGAGCAGCTCTGGCTCTGTTGCCACCATTACCACATGGTGCTCTGCAGCAACCACCATCTGACCACTGAGACTACCACTTCATTCTTTTTTATTCTCAAATAATATTCCATTGTATGGATATACCACATTTTCTCTAACTATTCATCAGGTGATGGACATCTGGGTTGTTTTCACTGGGAGGCTGAATAACAATGAATAATATTGAATGAATAATATTGCAATGAATACCCATGTACAAGTTCTTGTGTGGATATATGTCTTCTCTTGGGTATATTCCCAGGAATAGAGTTGCCGGGTCATATTGGTTACTCTATGTTCAACTTTCTGAGGAAGTGCCAGTTGTTTTCCAAAAACAGCTACACCGGGCAGCCCGGGTGGCTCAGTGGTTTAGTGCCACCTTCAGCCCAGGGCGTGATCCTGGGGTCCCGGGATCAAGTCCCATGTCAGGCTCCTTGCATGGAGCCTGCTTCTCCTTCTGCCTGTGTCCCTGCCTCTCTCTCTCTCTCCTTTCTCATGAATAAATAAATTAAAATCTTAAAAAAAAAAGCAACTATACCGTTTTACATTCATATATCCCATCAGCAGAGAATGGGGGCTCTGATTTCTCCACATTCTTGTCAACATTTGTTATCTTTTTTTATTATTATTATTATACCCGTCAGTTGGTGTGAAATGATACCTTATGCGGTTTCTACTTACATTTTCTTTATGACTAAAGATGTTGAGCATCTTTTCATGTGCTTATTGGCCATTTGTATATCTTCTTTGGAGAAATGTCAATTCAAGTTCTTTACCCATCTTTAGTTTATCTTTTTATTCTTTTTGAGATTTTTTTTAATTTTTTTTAATTTTTAAATTTATTTATATATATATATTTTTTTTTAAGATTTGAGAGAGAGAGAGAGAGAGCGCATGAGCTGGGGGAGGGACAGAAAGAGAAGCAGAGGGAGAAGCAGACTCCCCACTGAGCAGGGAGCCTGATGCAGGGCTTAATCCCAGGACCCCAAGATCATGACTTGAGCTGAAGGCAGGCACTTAACCAACTGAGCCATTCAGGCACCCCTAAAAACTTTTTATTTTAAAATAAAACACAGATAGGGGCACCTAGCAGGCTCAGTCAGTAGAGCATATGATTCCTGATCTCGGGGTTGTGAGTTTGAGCCCCGTATTGGGTGTAGAGAATACTTAATAATAATAATATAAAAGATTTAAAATAAAACATAGTTATAGATAATATAAAACAAATGTACAATTTAACCAATTATTATAAGACAATCATGCCTTGGAACTACCACCAAATCAAGAATATAAATGTTGGCCAGGTACCCCAGAAGCCCCTCCATGAGACCTATCCCAATCACAGCTCCCCCCTAA